AAGGTCGTTTTTCGTGGGAAAACCCAAGCGTTTCCGCATAGGGTCACTGGTCAAAGATTGATCATAACATGTCCAAGCTGGTCAAGGCTTAGTCAATGTTTTGGTCATAACATGTCCAAGCTGGTCAAAGCTTAGTCAAGTTCTGGTCTTGGCATGTCTTAGCAGGTCCTGATATGGTCCAAACTAGACTTTGCCATGGTCGCAACCCAGTCCGAAGGCCGGGCTTCTTCCGTAGCCGGCGGTATTTACTTGACTCCCACGAGGTCAAGATGTGACACAAGGTCGTTTTTTGTGGGAAACCCGAGCGTTTCCGCATAGGGTCACTGGTCAAAGATTGGTCATAACATGTTCAAGCTTAGTCAAGTTCTGGTCCAAATTAGTCTTAGCAGATCCTGATATGGTCCAAACTAGACTTTGCCACGGTCGCAAACCAGCCCGAAGGCCTGGCTGCTTCCGTGACCGGCGGTATCTACCTAACTCCCACGGGGTCAAGATGTGACACAAGGTCGTTTTACGTGGGAAACCCGAGCGTTTCCGCATAGGGTCACTGGTCAAAGATTGGTCATAATATGTCCAAGCTGGTCAAAACTTGGTCAAGTTCTGGTCCAAGTTAGTCTTAGCAGGTCCTGATATGGTCCAAACTAGACTGTGCCACGGTCGCAACCCAGCCCGAAGGCCGGGCTGCTTCCGTGGCCGGCGGTATTTACTTGACTCCCACGAGGTCAAGATGTGACACAAGGTCGTTTTTCGTGGGATTACTAGACTCCCACGGGGTCAAGACGTGACACAAGGTCGTTTTTCGTGGGAAAACCCAAGCGTTTCCGCATAGGGTCACTGCTCAAAGATTGGTCATAACATGTCCAAGCTGGTCAAGGCTTAGTCAATGTTTTGGTAATAACATGTACCAGCTGGTCAAAGCTTAGTCATGTTCTGGTCTTGGCTTGTCTTTCCAAACTAGACTTTCCCATGGTCGCAACCCAGCCCGAAGGCCGGGCTGCTTCCGTGGCCGGCTAAAAACCGCTGCGAAGTCTCGGGCATCTAGATATGACGGTTCATACAAGAGAAAGCGGTGACGCTAAACAAGTAAATGAATATAATTAATTTCGGGCCGTATTAATTACAGTCAAAAGTGTGTTCGGTGTTTGTTGACTGTATTTAAATTAATTTCGGTTCGAAATTAAAGGTCTTTTATTTTTGTTTAGTGGCGAAAATTGAGTTTTGTGTGTTTCTGACAGTTTGAAGGATGTCGTTGCTATTTTTAGCACACAAGGGTCATGACCTTTCTCTACCGGACGGTATATCCGGGGTTGTTTAAGAAAAGGTGGGAGTGGTGTTTGGGCACACTGCGACAATGTCGTGTATGATCTCCTATACTTTCAAAGTGGGTACGTTTATACACATAAAAAATTTTTTTTCAATTATTTTAAAAATCTTAATGCGTCATGATTTGTATTAAGTTTTTCGACTTTTGATTAGTAAATATAGTTTTCATTTAATAACAATATTACCTAATGTGATCAAAGTTTGCAGAATTTTTAAAAGATTTGAAACATTTAAATTATATAATTAAAATGAAAACAATTCTTTTAAAAATTCATATTTCACCGAAAAAATGTTTTTCTTAAGAGTAATGTCCTTAAAAAGCAATTAACAGCTTATCTAATTAAATAATGTCATAGTTTTATTGCATTTTTTTAAATTTTACTATTCGGAGCAAATTTTCGGGAAATCAGTAGCTGTTTGAATAAAAATGGATGCCTTTTACCTTACATTCTTCAAGGAGTCCTGCTTTTACTTAATAAAAAAGAAAACTTGCCGATCAGAATTTAATTTCTCGAAATTTCATGAAATTAAGTCAGGGATAACAGATTTAAAACGAAAAAATATTTTTCCTAAGATTTTCTAAAAATAATAATTTCAAAAATAATTTAACTTGTTTGTGAATAAATCCTGAAAGCTTCATTAAAATCCGACAATTATTTGATTTTTGCAAGAATTTCCAAATCAATGTTTTTTTTACTGGAAAAAAAGTGCTAAAATATCCATAGGAATCTTTGGTACACTACTGACGAAAAAAAACAAGATTTTTAACCAAAATTACGAACATGAGAGAAAGGAATAAAAGTTTAATTAAATAATAATAATGATAAAAAAAAACTTTGGTCTTTCTTCTTCTTAATCTTACTTATTATAAAACGCAGATTGTGTGTGTGTGTGTGTGTGTGTGTGTGTGTGTGTGTGTGTGTGTGTGTGTGTGTGTGTGTGTGTGTGTGTGTGTGTACGTTTATATATTGGATCGGATTTCGTACATTTTTCAACCGATTTCAACAAAACTTCACAGAACTGCGTAAAATTACCTTGCGGTGGTTCTGACAGCGCCAAAAATTGGAAAAATACAATTGTTTTTGCACGAAATCAATTTGAAAACACGATAAAACACGATTCTGTCACCAGAATGAAAGGGGGACAACTCATATCGAGTTATACTTATAAAACACAGGTTGTGTGTGTGTGTGTGTGTGTGTGTGTGTGTCCGTTTATATATGGGATCGGATTTCCTACATTTTTCAACCGATTTCAACAAAATTTCCCTTTTTTTTGGCAGTTAGTGTTTCTTATTGTCTTGCACACTTTTTTCTTTATTTTTACATTCAGAATGCTTTAAAAATTCCATTTACAAGACAATTGTTTATAATAAAATTCTATTTAATCGGTAGACTCATAACGATTGAAAACAATGTTTTTTTTTAGTTTGGTTTTGACCAATTCGTAAAAAAAAAAAAAAAAAAACTAATTAAGACATGCGTGTCCGTCAACTTTAAACAATAATCTTTGTCAATTTTATTTTTCAGTCTTTATGATGGTGGATACTTGATCTATCTCTTACTGTTACATCCCCGGGCAACGCCGGGCTCTACTGCTAGTATTAACATAAATTTGTTCTTTTCAAGTTTGGTGCCTTTTTCTTCGTGGTATGCTCTATTTTAGCGAAAAAATGGAAATGCCACATTGTAGTACAAGGCTAAATATATGGGACCCTTATTGACGATCGAACTCACTACTTAGTCGTAATTGTTTCTAGCGAGACAAGCTTTCTTAACATTACCACGTTGAGGTGCCCAAATTCATTCGTTAATGAATGAGTACTGAAAATTCCGTGTGAATCGGATAATTCCCGGATTTTTGGCAAAACAGAAGGTAGCAATTTTTGGATTTCATTTAAATTTTAAATGAAAGCAAAAAAAATTAAATTAAAAAAAAGCATCCATTTTGGATTTTGGTTGTACCTATGGTTATTGTAAGTGTACTGTAATTACAGTAGTGAACAAGCTTGTCTCGTTAAAATCAGTTACGACTGTGCATCTTCACTGGGGGCTCCATACTTGCAGCCCTTTACCACATCTACGCTTAGTAAATCACTACATATCTGGGAAATTTGTTCCGGCTTCCCCAGATGAAAAGGTTAAGGTAAAGAGTGACTTCTAGACAGTCATCTATATCTAAAGTTCATAAAATGTGTGTGTGTGTGTGTGTGTGTGTGTGTGTGTGTGTGTGTGATCGGATGTTGTTTATGCATTTCTACAGTTTTCATCCGATTTCGATGATTTTTTTTTGTTTGATAGATAATTCTTCAGTGCCGGTTTTGAGTCCAAATTGTTGGTGACAATGGCTCTCCACTACTTCCTGCCCATATAACTCTCAGCAACGTTTTACTATTTACTATTGGATATATCTTTCATAAAAACTTTAATAAAAATAAATAGTTTAAATTATTACAATATTATTATTTATTATTATACCGTTCCATTTTCATGGCCAGTTGCACCCAAATGTTGTTACTAATATTGATTTTCGGGTGGGCTGACTTTAAACGAACCTAGGGAATAACCCATACTTGCCTGTCACCCCCTACGGGAAGATGCACTCTTCCCCAAATTAACCTTTAACCAATCATCATTTCACTTTTCCAGACTCAACTTCCCATTGGTTAAAAGGACACAAAAATGTAGCAAATTGAGACAAATCCTTTTTTCCCGCGCAGCTGTCTGGAGCCTATTTGAAAACCCAAAAGTCTATAAAAAAGAGAATCGCTCGACTTAATTCAAGTCAGTCAGACACAGAGTTTCGAGAGATGTCAGCAGACTCCACGCGTGACTCAATAACACTACCAGCCTCTCATCAACTCAACACAACTCGCACTACTATTGCCGCGTGAAGAAACTTAACTTACAATTTACTAAAAAAGTGACATTATCACTACGAAATAGTAATTGTACATTTAATCAACTTTAGCATATCAGTCAAAGGCACACAACTCTTCATAATTTGAATCAACACTTACAATTGTCACACACATGCACACTATTATTTGAACTCAAACAATTAACATTTTACCTTGAAGAAATCAAACTGTTTTAATTTCACAAACAAACTTAAACCATCAACATTCATTCATCAAATCTCTGCATGGACACTCTTTGCAATCTTATCTCACTTGCCATGTTTAACAAGCAACCTATCATCACTTTGTGTATGTCAAATATATATATAAATTCATGTTATTGTTGAAATCTATAACTACGTTGTTTTTTTTTTCCTTGATTTCTTCAAGTTGTATTGTCTTCCTATGTTCGTTTAATTTATTTGTTGTGGATAAATGCATAATGTACACGCACATTTTAGGCCTTCACGCAATTTCACCTTCTGACACATCTTACTTAGCATAAATTCTGCAACAGAATTGATAACCCCGACGTCTCAACCAGAAATTAGTTACTCCGACGTCCCAGCAACTAAAAAATTTGGCAACCCTGACGTCTCAACTAAATTGATAAACCCGACATTTCAACAACAGAAAAATTGATAACTCCTGGCACACTACACATCATTAACGAACCAAGCAGCGGTGACAATGGCCATCAAAAAACCTGCAACTGTTTACCCGTTAAAAAGGCGCCAAATTCAGTTTTTCTTTCCCTCCAAAAAGGAACCGAATTAATATGGCTGATCCCATGCCACCAATTGAAGCTGCACTCAGATTAGAACTTTTAACGTATAGTACTAGCGCGCAAACGTGGTTCGTCCAGCTTGATGCAATTTTCCAGGCGAGGCATATTACTTTACAACAATCCAAATTCGCATTTGTGATGGAGAAGTTACCTGCCGACGTGGCATCGGAGGTAGCGGATATCCTTACTGTGACGTCGCCCCCCCCCCCGGTCGCAGCGTCGACTCTGTCGTTCGATCTCGTTCGCGGCTCCAATTGTGACGTGACGTGATGTAGCCGCCCAAGGGTCGATCCTTGTCACGGACAGCACCAGTTGTGACGTTTTTGCCGCGGCGTCAGCTGTTCGCTCCTCGCTGCTCCAAGTGTGACGCTCCAACCCTTTGGTTAGATGATTACCAGCCTCGCCGTTCCCAACTCGCTTCCAACACCTGGTTACTAGGGTAACTGTACTGATCTCCGGTCTGCCTACCCACGTTGTGATTAGATCTTAGACAGACGGGATCAAACGGGGATTGGGGCCGTATGCAAGTTGAGTTCGACGGGGTGGCAACTATAGTTCCTAAAAACTCACGAGGCCAAAAATTACTGATAAAAAAAGGGTAACAACTTTTTATATCTAATGTTCGTTACATAAAAATTATTCTTACTTCCCGACCCGTTTTGTGGACTGTGGCACCAACATTCTACCATACAATTTAAAGACTTCGAGTTGCCTACTCTAGAATTTTGCATGTCGGAGTGTGGTTTGGTTTCGACACTGGGCGCTAATCTCTACCAGTCGTTCACGGCTGATTCTTCTCTTCGGCTTGAGTTGGACGAGCTTATTCACTTCGGCTTGAGTTGGACGCAAATTTCTTCACTTCGATTTGGGTTGGACAAATCTCTGTTCTTAGGCTTGGCTTACAGATGGATTTCAGTTTCTTAAAATATGCGCAACTGCAAGTAACGTCTTCTTCGTCCGCCCTGCAACGATTTCTCGCCAAGGTCCGAACTCTTCCCTCTGCCGTCTGAGACTGACTCTTCTCTCTGCCTTCCGGGGAACTCTAACTTTCTCTGTCTGGCCTGCAATTCTTCTGCCTGCCTGGCCTGCAATTCTTCTGCCTATCTGGCCAGGCAATTTTTCTGCCTGTCTGGCCGACGAACAGCTTTTCTGCCTATCTGGCCTGATGCAATTCTTCTGCCTGTCTGGCCTGCAATTCTTCTGCCTGTCTGGCCTGCATATCTTCTGCCTGTCTCAACATGTCGAAACGGACTTTTGCCCCCTTCTTGCCCTTGATGCGAACAGAATGTTGAGGGCCCGCCGGCCGCTCTCCAACTGCTCTGGCCGTCCACCCCCGCAACTCTGATTTCTTCCAAGTTTGGGGTTCTGCTTTTATTGACGCCGCAACAAACTGGGGTGGGTCTGTCGGCGTCAGGGTTTTTTTTGATAATTCCAAAAGTCGCATTATTTCTGATTTCCCATTATCGCTCTTACTCTCACCCGTCTTGCAAACCTCACAGTGCCTCTGGGGGAACACTTTTCTCTCCCGGTCTCTCGTATGTCAAAAAAGGTGACCGTTTTTCGACCAATGGGTCCTGGTCGAGCGTCCTTTCTCTTCATTTTTTCTCGCATATCTGATGACGTGACCGCTCTCGGCTAATGAGATTCTGGTTGGGCGTCTCTCGTCCTTCGTGACGTCTCCAATCGGGCGTGGCCTATCCGGGGCTTTGTTCAGGGGAAGAAAGATTATTTGCTAAAAAAACAAAATCAATTTGGCCGTTTTTCGCACGCACGAAAATGACAATCTCGGTATTTCTCACACTTGTTTTTGGCTTTTGTCAAAACAGCCCGCCGCTAATTAGATGTGACTTCAGGAAGAATTTTTCTCGTCTTGCTGGCGCTTTCTGTGAGCCAAAACAATTGTTTTCATTCCTTTATTTTCGCTCAGGCGAATCTGAATTGAATTGAAAATATCTTCACTTTATCATCGTGGGGGTTCTAATCTTCAACTCTAGAGCTGGTCAGGATCTGTATACAATTCCAGCGGTCACCTCTCATCCCAAAGACACCCCTTTTTTATTAATATTTCTTTTTCCATTGTTCTAAAAAAATCCGATTTCTCCAACTTGATAATGAACTTCCACATTCCGCGGACACAAAAGTAGGCCAGGTGTTTTGACCGATTTTATTAATCGTCCGTCTTGATGTTTTTTCACTTGTACCATGTCTGTTCCCTTTCTTTCTTTTAATTATCTCTATTCTTTCAAATAACAATTTCTATTGTTCGTGAAATTCGGTCAGGCGCGTTGGCCTACATATCTCTTGACACCTGTTTTCGCTTATGACCGGCTTTTGCATTATCCATCTCCCTCTCCTTTTTCTTTCTTTTCCTTTTTTTCTTTTTTCTTCTTCCCTTAGGATCGCCTAAATACAATTAGAGAATTATTCTCAAAACTCAATTATTCTTCGTCTAAATAACTAACAACTGGTTAATAAACCGAATAAAAATTAAATCATATTTCTATGAATATTTCTTTTTAGTTTTTCTAATAATGCAGGGTGCCACATTACAAATCTCCCACCAGATAAACTTTACGAGGTGCTCAAACAGGCTATACTCAAACGAACAGGTTGCTCGGAAAAACGCAAAATCAAAGACCTCTTAACAACTAACGTAACCTTAGGGAACAATAAACCTCCCCAACTCTTACGCAAGATGAAAACCTTGCTTGGCACCAATACTATGTCTGAGACAGTATTAAAATAAATGTGGCTAGACAAGCTAAACCCGGACATAGTTCAAATTCTCGCTGCATTAACTGACGAAGTGGGTATCCAAAAATTAGCAGCAATAGCAGACAAGATTATTGATACCCGACCGACTCATCAAATCGCCTCCGTCATGCCGTCAAATGATTCGCCTCCAAACACCAATCAACAAATGCAAGCCTTAACATTAGAATTGAGAAAACTTTCCCTACGTCTAGACGACATCCAAAACACATCAAGCAGAAATCGGAGCAACTCAACGGGTCGACACAGCATTCAACGACGACGTTCAACGTCGCGGCGTCCCCGACACCATCAATGTGGTTATTGCTGGTACCACGAGGTGTTCTGCGCGCGCGCGCAAAAAGATGTCAACCGCCGTGTTCATACCAAAGCACACTCCCAACCAAGCAACAGAGAAACGACCACCCTGGCAACCATTAAGGACGTTGGCTGCCAGGACTGATGGTAAAATCGCCTCTTCTATATCCACGACCGCAACAGCAACCTAAAATTTCTGGTCGCCACAGGCGAACACAGATCACCCAACGTCATACCGCTGAGCAACTGTAGCAAGTCGGTAACGACCCAAGGAATCGTGGTCAATTCAAAAATTCAAACAAGCCGTCAACACCCATTAGCAACTAAATATTATTGGCGATAGCCCGTTATGTCCCTCAACATCAGCCTAAGAAGGAATTTACCTGGACCTTCACAATGAGCCGATGTTGAGGGTCTGGGGGCGGATTTCTTAGCGTATTTCAACTTGTCTGTCGAGCTATCTTCACGCACACTTACCGTTTGTTAACCTACAACGCCGCGGGTATTCCTAGGCATTCGATCATCGGTTTGACCGCGCTGATACCGGGAGCGAACGGTTACAAGAGTCTACTCCGACAGTATAAGTCACTACTGTCGCCATTCACCTATGCAGAACCCATCAAACACAACGTACCCATGCTATTAAGACAACTGGATCCCCAGTTCATACATCACCTCGTCGATTGCATCCAACTAAATTACGGGTAGCTAAGGACGAATTTGAAAATATGCTCAAATTGGGCATAATTAGACCATCTTCAAGTCCTTATGCTACACCGCTTCACATGGTTCCTAAGAGCGATGCCGACACTTGGCGTCCGTGTGTGGATTATAGGCTTTTGAACGCCCAGACCGTGCCGGACAAATATCCAATCCCCCATATTAAGGACTTCGCCCTAGCATTAGAAGGCGCCACTGTATTTACCAAATTAGACCTAAGGAAAGCCTTCTAAAAAAATAAATAGAGCCATCCGACATTCCCAAGACAGCCATTTTATCCCCTTTTGGTTTTTGTCCGAATTCACTCGGATGCCATTCGGTCTGTGTAATGCAGCGCAGTCTTTCCAGCGCCTCATCGATGAAGTTCTTCGAGGCTTACCTTTTACCTATGCCTACATTGATGACGTTTGGATAGCAAGCAAGATCTCCTAAGAACACCACGACCATTTGCAATCAATATTCCAGCGACTACAATACTATGGCTTGAAACTAAATGTCGAAAAATGTTTGTTTGCCGTCCCTAAGCTAAACTTTTCTCGGTAACGTCATTCATAAGCACGGGTTAACTCTCTTAGACGAGAAAGTCAATGCCATCAGTAACTTCCCATCACTGTCAACTCTACGCCAGTTACGAAGGTTCCTACGGATCGTAAATTATTATGGCCAGTTCATACACAACTGCGCTGACATACTCTTGCCATTGACAAATCTCCTGTCCAAACATAAGAGAAAGAATCCAAAGATCACGTTGTCCACTGACGAATTAAATTCTTTCGACAAAGCCAAACAGGCGTTACAAAACTGCACTAAGCTATCATACATAGCACCTTCACCCGACGCAAAATTAACCTTGAACACTGACGCATTGTCTAATACGGTCGGTGCGGCACACCACCATCTTGTTAACGGTGTAGAAAATCCACTGTCGTTCTTCTCCGTCAAGCTTAATTCGGCTCAGGCCAAATACAGCACGTTCTCCCGTGAACTGTTGGCAGTTTACTTAGCCATCAGACACTATCGGCATATTTTGGAAGGATGCAACTTTTCGGTTTTCACAGACCACAAACTATACTACATAGCGCAATTCGCATCAGATATTCGTTACGTTAGCGGCACCAGCAACACCGTAGCCGATGCTTTGTCTCGCACGACCCTTAACACAATTCAACCTACAACATTAAACTTCGACACCTTGGCGGACGAGCAAATGAACGACGACACGCTGTCAGCTGTTCGATCGAATACTTCTCTGCAAATTGAGAAACGACCTTTTCCATTCACGGATAGGTCAGTTTATTGCGACATGAGCACGACAACCTTCCCCAAACGGACGTTTTATTCACTTGCATGCAGACTTAGTTGGTCTATTAGAACGCGTAAACGGTTTTCAGTACATCACGCGTTGGCCAGTCGCCATACCTCTCGAATCAATAACAGCTGAATCAGTCGCCAATGCCATCTTTACGCATTGGATCACTATTTTTTAACTTAAACTGCTCCAATTGAACGGCACAAATACCCCGTAATGAAAGACCCGGTCAAAGACGGGTTATACTGCTAGTGTAGGATAAAAATTAACTTCAAACTGATACATATCCGCTTAGCAATTCTCCCACAGGAACGAATGAATCCCTTTTTTATCCATCAATAAGTTTAAACTTTAAATCTTTAAACTCGGAATCGCTTTGCTGAGAGGGTTCTCAAGATGTTGTATTTCCCTATCAAAAGATTGTTTTTGCATGAATTTGAAGAAATAGACCTTTGTGTCAGAATGCTTTATTTATAAACTTAAACATTGTCAGTAACTCGTAACTCGTAACTCGTACAAATTTAGACAACTTAGAATATTTGGCCAAATAGGTTTGTTCAAACAAATAGAACTAGTTATTCAATATTGTGATGCACTTCGCTACGTACAATAACACTGCTTTCGTCACTGAGGCAACTAAAACTACTTTCTAGCCAAGCCACAGGATTTCCCGTCAGACAGTGCTAGAAATCCAAAATCTATTCGAATTTGTCAAAGGATAGACGGTAGGCCTCTAGTGATTGTTGGGATCCTGCAATGAAGGCACATACTTGAACTTAGCCGATAATCCATAAATTGGCCGCAAATCTTCATTATCAGGGAATTTACTTTAACATGATGCTTGATAACATAATTTAAAATAAAAGGACTAAATAAACCCGAATAAGAAAGTGTTGTTGTTTAAAACAAACTAATCTGCCACCTTCCTTCATAAAAATTAAAGAGGAATCTATTTTTGTCCTCTTCCAAGCTGAGTTTTTAATCATCAGGAAAGCCTTCCTAATGTCAGCGAGTAACACATTTGGAGCGAAACAACAATAATAATTTTAGCTGAGCGCATCTCTTATTTAAAAAAGTTAGGCTGCTTCGTTTCCTGTTTTAGTTTTAAATTGAGCAATTTTAAAAAGAGGCTTCATTTCAGTTGTGGTTTGATCTTCTTTTTAAAAACAGGTATATGAGGAAGGAATCCATATATAACCCTTGAAATTATTAGGGGTAACGTGAATGCTCTCTATCCCCTCCTGAAACACCTTGCATATATTCTTCCAACAGATTGCGCCTTTCTAAGCTTTTGAGAACTCAAGAAGAGCTACAGCATGATTAATGTACGGAACTGATTCTTTCCTCTATTCAAGGTAATTTTACATAAGAATTATCTTTAATTTCTAGATCCCTCGAAGTCGCTAAATCTTCTCCCTGTCATAATCACTCACACCATCTTCTTCACTGGGAAGACCCATCCCTTCCATACTGAACATTATAGTAATGATGACAATGTTCAGTATGGAAGCGTTGGGTTCTCAAATTAAATTCTGACACATGCGCATGCGCACGTTGATAATAAATATCAATGCGAGAAAAACTTGAGAAAAACTTAGTAATTCAATGCAATGCTTATTATTCGAGATAAAAAAAAAAAGTCATTCTACAAAAAAAAAAGAAAAGAAAAAGTAAATCACAATGTGACTTTCAGTCACGCAACCTGATGTAGACCTTGAGTTCTACCGGCAGTGTGTCGGGAGACTTCCTAGTTTTGAACTTTTTATCTCGGTCTCCCGGTTCGTAATTAATTAATATTCTGCAGTTAAACTGTTGGTCTGCAGCCGAGTCTGTCAGTTTTTTTTATTATTATTTTACATTACAAGATTATCCCTGTGAATAAATTTTTGCGCCTATTCAGTCCGCATGTGTTTGAAAAAATGGCTGAAGGTTTCGGTTTAATGATTCGGTTAAAAATTACTAAAATTATTTTTTTTATTTTGTCTTTGATAACAGATTCTTATCGAAAGAGAGTTTGTTTAAGTGAAACATTGGCCTGATTCTTCTGAATTCAAAGAAAGATGTTTGTTTGTTTTTTTTTAATACTTGTTTCGCCCTGTTTTTGGTAAAATAAAGCATCACATTTATTTTTGTTTAAGTTAGTTAAGGTAAGGAAGATAAATCTCCAAGTTTTTAAATTTCTATGCTGATAGGGTCTATCGCTTCATCAGTAATGAAAAATGTCCATGTTCATGAACGATTTAACTTCTTGACAATAAACGAATATTTGAAGTTGCTTAATCTTATCTTATTTATTTTGTTCTCTGCTTTTGTTTTGAATATATATTTTTTTTATTTCCTTACGTGCAACAGTTCAAAAAAACATGCATAAACTTTACTAAAGTAATACAATTAATTATAAAATTACTTAAATACGCTGCCATTTTTTTACGGTGTACAAATAAAATAATTGTTATAATAATGGACACAGAAGAAAAGTAAATAAGTTAGTAGAAACATCCACTTTAAAAGTGTTTTTTTTTTTTTATCCTCATTGAGTTCCCGGAATAAATTTCAAACAGGAAATATGTTATCACTTTCACCGCCACCGCAGCGGAAGTGCCGAGTGGCTGCGTTAACAAGTGTGTTTGTAATTGTTGTTACAGGTGAGTCTTTGAAAACTGGAAAAAAAAACGACAGAAATTTTTTTAGAAATTATAATTTGGATAGTTATTTATGGAGAAAACATAACAAGAGTACATTGTATGTCTTATGTACTTAATCGTTAATATTTAAATTAGCATTTCTTTACCGAAAAAAAAAAGGATTTTTATTTGTTGTTTATCATCGCCTGATGAAATTGCACTTTCAATATTCAGTGCATTATTTTATCTTTATTTCCACCTTTATCAACAGTTAATAGCGATTTTAAAATTTTGAAAATGTAATTTCTTATTTGATCAATCAGTGATGTAAACGCTTCTAAAACTTGTATAAAAATTTAAAAGATTGTGTCCATAGAAAATCTTTCGCGGTATGTTTCAAATCTTGTTGATCCCTTTAATCAGCTGTATTTATTCTACTAATTTTCTCCTTTAAATAAGGAAAGATTATAATAATTATTACTTCGAATTTATAACGCCCTCTGCTAAATACTTGGAACAAAACAAAAATAAAGAAAAAAAAGAAGCTAACTGCACTATATTTTTATTTCTATCATTCTTTATCTCAAATCATTGTCTCTTTATTACTCGTTCTCTATCATGTGATGGTACGCCCCCTTTGTCTTTTGGATTAATGAAATAATCATTAAAATTTTAAAATAAATATTTTATTTTCATTTTTTTTTTTTACCTTGACCAAAATTTAGTAAACTTATTTTGTGTAAATTTTTTCGAAAGAAAGTGTACTCATCATTACTTACTCAGTAATTTTTAATTTGTTTAAAAACTTCACCTGCATTTTGTTTTGTTTTTTAAATAACAATGACATTTTTAAATAAAAACCATTATTGTACATTTGATATTTTCAAGACAATAATCTATTGAATAGATTATTCCGTGAGTAATTGCAGGACACGAAAAGCTAAAAACTACTTTTCTCAAAGTCAACAAATATAAATGTTTTCTTTTTCTTCTTTTCAGCATCACAAAGATAACGCATCAGTAACAATTATAAAATTTTGTAGGTAGATGTTCTTTTTGTGTGCCGTGTCCCCTCAGTACATAAGCGATTATGGCTTTCCACAATTTCTTGTCCTTTGTAGCGCTTAATAACTTTTGTTTTTCTCCTAAAATCTCAACCCTGTTCCGCCATCTATAATTTACTCAGGCTCACTAAGTATGTTATGCGTTGTTTTCCTCTGTCCCTTTTAATTTCTTCAATCTGACCTCTGAGTATCAGATTTTTCATGCCCACTTTCTTCATTATGTGTCCTAGAAATTTCAACTGTCTCTTCTTGATGTTAAGTGTAAGTTTCCTTTTTATTTCCATTTTCTCTAAAACTTTCATTGCTAACATAATCGGTCCATGGTATTCTCAGCATCCTTCTGTAGAATCATATTTCTTTTGCTTCAAGTCTCTTCTTCATCTTTGAGGAGATTGTCCAGCACTCAATGCCATACAGGACAGATATTACATAACAGTTTAGTACTCTTTTCCTTGTTTATAGCAAAGTGTTTCTGTGTCTTGATACTGTGCTTAGCTTTTGGAATGCATCTTTTTTTTGGCTATCACAATGCTTTTGCACCACCCATTTCAAAATACTTCCTGGAAGTGACTACAGGAAGCAAATAAAAAATCAAACAATGCATGGACAAACAAATTGTGATGAGATGAGTACATATCATTTTCCAGGAGGAATAGTGTGAAGTGAATGTAACACCCTTGGCAGGAATTTGAACTTTATCTAGCCCTGCTGGTTTCATTTTCTATGTTTGAGTGGGGGGATCAATAACAAACTGTTTTGTTTTTTTGTTAGTCCCCACCAAATGCTAATATCCATGATTTTAAAGTTCAGAAACAAAAAGATAAATTTAAAGTTTACATGGAATCAAAGACTCAAAGTTTGATTATTTTTGGCATCAAATCATCACAGATTTATATCCTGTTTAAAATTATTGAATTTGTATTAAAAACTCAGACATACAATTTAAATATCATAGTGCAAATTTGAATGTGCAGGAAGTAAATAAGTTTTGAGTGGGGTTTAAAAAAAATTTAATTAAACGAAAATATAGCAGATCATAATTAGGGTAGTCTAAGGGCTACAAGCTTCATTAGCTTGAAGCCATTTTTAACTGTTGATCTGAGAAAGGGGTTGTATACAGCTGACAATTTTGATATTTTTGAACAGGTTTGGTGCCATGGATGATATCCATATGAAAGTGACAATTTAATGAAGCTATTTAAGAACAGCAAAAATGTGTTAAAATCAAAACAAAAATATTATTAAAATAGTATAAAAGATCTAAAAAAAAAAAATGAACATTGATTTTTATGCTAGGATCAGATAAAATACAGGTATACCTCAACCTACATCGTTAATTGGTTCCAGAGATCACAACTATAAATCACACTGTAAACCTAAAATGACCACTCCCCATTGCATATTACAGTACTTATGATATGTACGTACAGTATTCTGAATAAAATAATTTATCAGCGATATAGACTTATGCTTAGCATTAGCAATGAAAGAATGGTCTGGCTATTTTTTTCCAATATAATCCAGTTTCGTCAACGTTAAAAATCTGTTCAGGAAGAAACTAGTTTTCTTCGATGATACTTTAAGGAAATCAGCTACTGCTAGTTCATCAGCTGATGCACTTTCACCTTGCGTCTTAATAGAGTAATAACTTCTTCATTGTTTAAACCTCACAAACCAGCCTTGACTCACTTTAAACTCTAAATCTTTCTCATCTACATATTTTAATATGATTTTATATACTTTTATTCTTATTTATTGTACAGTAACATAATTTTATGTGCATTTAATGCTTTTCTAGTGATATTACGACTTCAATATTTGTGACTGACAGACGTAAAGTCGAATAAAATGACTTAAATTTGATTTTTATTTTTTCATATATTTTTTTGATGAACGACATATAATCAAGAACAACTTAACTCAAGGTATACCTGTATATAGAATCAAGAATCATTGAAACTTAACATTTGACTTAATTTCCACTCACCTCCCGCCATGGTTTTTTACTTTATGGCACTCTGCTTGTTACTTCAACATGAAAAAGTTAAAGTACCTTATCCTTAAAATGCATTTACAAATCTAAATAAAAATTCTTTATAGCTTTCTGTGAATAGCTAAAATGTTGATAACAACCTATGACTTGCAAAATATTCATTTTCTCAGAGATTTAAATGTGTTCATGACGTGACTTGTTTTAATAAAAATGAATAATTTTACCATTTAATAAAAAAAAAATTCAAATTTCTTTGGTATTTAGATTAGAGTAAATCACTAAATATGTAACTTAACTCAGTTATTAGCTAAATTCTGATCTGAAATTTTCAATGTATATTGATATGTTTCAGAGATGAGTGTTGTAAGGGCATTGACAAGGACAGAGGTGATGTTGAAAAATAAGTATATGTTCTAAATAAATGCTTTTGTTTTTTTTTTTTTCATCATTTGGCTAAAAACTTAGATAAATCTTAATGAACTCTTAAAAAAAATATAAATCTTCAGCAAAGTTTACATTTTGTTATCATATAAAGTTTTATTTGTTAATTTTATTAATTTTGTTTTAAAACTTTATAAACTCTTGCTTCCCTGCAGTTGTTCTAAGACCTCTTATTCCGTTATCTATCTCTGAGCAGACTCCACATACTTAAAAGAATATTCTGTAAAATTTTTTGAGGTTGAAAATGTGATATTCTTAGTCCTGGATCATTAACAGCTATGACAATCCTGACCTATAATAATTCATAGTTATGACACAATCGCCATTTATCTTGTTTTTGTCTTTTGCCATTTGTCTCATACATCAGGTGACATGAGTCCTGTTTGTACGCCATATTGGATTGTTGTGCATTCACTCTCTCTTTAATTGTGTTGTGTTTTTTCAAAATTTATTGCCCTTCATTCTGGCTCCCAAGCAGAGTGTAACCTCTTCTGAAGGTGGTGCTTCAAAGAAAAGGAAAGCCATCATGATGGAAGTGAAATTAGACATTGTCAAACCCTCTGAAAAAGGAGAAACAGTGATAAAGATTGGCCAGTTGTTTGACTTAAGTCATTTGACTGTTGCTTAAAACATGTTCATATGTGTATACTTATTGAGTTTCCCTGTAAGAGATAAGGACATTTACTTGTTAAACTATAAGTTGGTGAATTCTCAATAAAAAAAGAAAAAACAAACATGAAATTTGTTATTCTTTTTTCCCCAGATTTGCTGCTGCTTCTGAGTACTGCAAGAGAGATAAGATTTTATGCTTCATCATCTCCTCTACTAAGGCTGAATGACATCAACTAACATCCTAAAACAATTTCATTTCATTATATGTATTATATTTATGTCCTCCATGTGTTTTTTTTAGTCCTAATATGCTAACATGTCATAGAAATGTCTTGTAATGTCCTAGATTATTTCTTTACTATTGCACTAGCATAGGTGAGTGAGGTAAGTGCTTATACACAGAAAATCGTTACACAGCTTCAAAGTAACAGAATTCTGTCGTAGTTGGGAATCTTCTGTATTTTTAAAGTGATGTAGAAGAAAAAAATAATAAATTAAAATATTAATGAAACATCTTGTTCATCTGGTAGTTTTAAAACATGATAAAAGTAACTGCACAAAACATACTTTTTAGTAATATCTTAATTATCAAGAAAATATTGTTAATGATTTTCTTAGTATTTTTTTTTTAACCAACACAGTCTTACTTTTTTTTCTTTTTTTTTTGTTTCATTAAATCCTGATTACCAAAGTTATTATTACCTATAAGTAAGTTTTGCAAAGTTATTTTGATCCAACTTTTTGCATCATGTGCCAGTGAGTGTACAAAACACCACTGATTAGTTATGTCCCAACTTTAAATTAATTGATATCCAGCTTAGATGACAAGAAAAGCTCAGTTTGAACAGACATTTTATAAAATAGTTATTTACTTTTAATTTTTTTTACGGGGGGGGGGGACAAAAGTCACAGGAGGGGCATGAACTTTGTGCAGTATATTTTTAAATATTTTCTATAATATTGAGTACAGAAGACCAAAATTTAAATTTGATAAAATTTGGTATGAATATAGACCTTTTTCTTTTATATGCTATGTCTTATTACAACTTGCTATCCTTTGTAGCTCTAAGTTTGGCTCCGTACTATTGCTGTTCTGTCATTCATTTACACAAGTTTGTTAGGTAGCTTACTTGCTGTTTTCTTATGCCCTTTTTGCCTTCAGTATGTCCTGTGAGTGTCAAATTTTCCAAATGTTCTTTCCTCATTATGTCCCCCAGAAATTTCAACTGTCTCATCTGTTTCTAAGTATAAGTGTCTTTTTTGCTTCCATCTTCCTTTAAATATTCTCGTTGCTAACATGTTCTATCGATAGTATTCTCAGCACCACATTTCTGAATAACCACATCCTTATTTGCCTCCAATCTTCTCTTCATCTGTGAGAAAATTGTCCAACATTAACTGCCATACAGGAGGATTGATATTACTGCAATGTTTAGCCTCTGTCCGCACACAAAAGACAGTAACACTGCTATTACTGTATACACTTTTAATTCCCTTGGCGATGGTTATTTACAAGATTATAAAAGTATGTGAACCAAGTACAATGCAATATTTATTATTTACTATTTTATAAAGAAATAAATTTTAAAAGAAATCTTTTTATTCAAAAATTTATAAAAAAAAAAAAAAATTATTCAAATATGTAAACCAACTATAATGCAATACTTATTACTTCCCATTTTATAAATAACTATGAAAACAAGATTTTTATTCAATCTAATAAATATATATTTCATATTTTGTTGTCAATTCCCAAGAATAAAGAATATGTATAAATTCATTTTCATATGTTTGGGTATTATTAAAATTTTAATCATTACTTTTTAAAAACAATAAACATTGTCAAGGGAGTCAAAAGTACTCACAGTAATAGTAGTATCAAGGGAATAACTGTCCATTTGACACAGTTTCCCCACCCCCAGACACAAAGGTTAAATATTGCTAATATTATATAGCAGTTCAGCACTCATAATGTTGACCTACTTGTTAAAAAAAAAAAAAAACTAAAAGGAGAGAGTAATTTAGAATTTATTTGATATTTAGTTAATAAAATTCTTTGCTTGTTTCTGTCTATCCACAAGATAACACAGAAATATTATAAACATACACACATGCATGAAAAACATAAGTAAGAACAATATCTGATTCATTTGAATTGTTATAATGGCATAAAAGATTTATAAAGCCAAAAGTTTTAAAAGGATATAATTTTCAAGTTATTTTCTATTTATATTTGCAGGTTTAAAATTAGTAGCTGCTTTTAGTCAATTAGTTTGGCATCAGTATCTCCATGTGATGGTGCAGTTCAGCCATGTCCAACCAGATTTACCACATCCCCACAATTCCACCTGACCTTTGGCGTGAGGACACAATCCTTCAGATTGCTGATACATTACAGTACTTAAACAAAGTAACTGATGACACTTTCAGTCGTATCAGTAAACGAGTTGACGATAACCATCGCCGGCTGGCCAAGGTCAATGACAGGGTCAGCCTGGCTCGTGCCAAAGTATCCAAACTCCAAGGTAGTAACAAAGCGACCAAAGTTTTTGCCTGTGCAAAGTACCCCTCTCCTGAGTATCTGGAAGAATATGAGAGTGTATTTAAAGAAGGGAACTCTCTGAGGAACATTCCTAAGTCTCATGTCAAGTTACAACAAAACAAGTCCTTGATTGTGGATGAGAAAATTTTGAAAGAAAAATTGCAGTATTACAATGTGCATCTTAATGTGAAGAGTAAACAGCGTGATGATGAGGGGGAGGGGCTTGGTCGTCTCCCGCGCAACATTCCATCAATCAGTTCACTCCTCCTGTTCAACACAACAGAAAATCCGTGAGTACTTTACAAACACACACACACTAGGATGTTTTTTTTTTAATGTTTTTAAATCAAAACTTGGCAATCTCTAACCTTTTGTGCCTAGGAAAAAAAAAAAAACGGTGTGTTTTCCTTGAGACTGGTATTATTTTAACTACTTTCACTCCTCAACAATGTTTATTGTTTTAAAAAATGATGATTAGAATTGTAATAAAACCTAAACATTTGATGAAAGTGAATTTATACATTTTTTGTTCTCGAGAATTGACAAAAATAATAAACACTATTTATTCATTAGATTGTTTATTTACACTATTTATTTATTATACTGTTTATTGGAATGTTTGGCAAAATGTTTGCTATTTGTCAATCCATTCAAACTTTATAAAATGGTAAATAATAAGGATTTCTATTTATATTATTTACATTGTTGGTACTGTTGTCCTCATCTTTACTGTCACTTTTGCAACGTTTCAGCCATAGTATGCTCCAGCCTTCTTCGGATGATATCCTTTTGACACACCGTCTTTCTTGTGGGCACGAAGATTAGAGATTGCCCAAAGCTTTTGTCTGCTTTCAACAATAGATTTGTGTTTCAATTATTAGATCAAGCCATAAATAGTTTGTTTTTGTTTCTCAGCATTCTGCTTTGTTCTTTTTGCTAAGTGTGTGGGTGGAACCTAAACATCCAGCTTGCTGGCTTTCCCTATCTTTTCTAAGTGTCAACAAATGGGAAATTGTGATACATTTAACATTGCTAATTCCTGAGTACTTTGCAATGTACTGCATTCTGCTAAGTCCTTTAGAGCTTCTGCTGTAACCTAGGGAAGGTTACTGAATAGAATAATCCCACGAAGGTTGCTAATGAATGATAATACTTAGTATACAAACAACACATATATGATTTGCCAGCGGCGTGTAGAAGTAGTAGTGAGCTGCTAGAAGTGAGTCAAGTGAATTCTCTAACTGTAGGTATCTACCAACCGCTCTATGCGGTCATAGGTGTGGCACAAGGCCGAATTTAATGTGGGGTAACAGAGCACTTAGGCTTGGCCAAAAATTCTCCATTGACCCCATATAAAATGGGATTGGGTAGCTGTTTCCCAAGACGAGACTCTGCCCTTCGACATAGCCTTGTCTGGGGATCCTCCCGCCCAGAGGCAGAGAGTTTAATCAGCACAGCTGGAGATGAATCTCCCACTTCAGACGGCCAAATTTAATGTGGGGTTCCCAAGCCTGTAGGCTCAACCCAAAAATTCCCCATAGACCCCATATAAAACAGGGTTGAGATGAAACTCTGCCCTTCGACATAGCTCTGTCTGAGGATACTCTCTGCTCAGAGGCAGAGAACTTAACCAGCCCAGCTGAAGATGAACTTTCAACTGCAGGCCAACACATACAGTATTCACTACTGTATTTATGGGAATGGGGACATACACATTATCATCCGTAGGTATGCTATAACAGCTTCTTCATCAAAATCCAATGAATGCACCAATATGGGTTCATCTTTTGACAATGTTTCTCAAGGACAAAACTTTGCAAACCAGTTTCTTAGTTTTTGTTCAGTTATGTTTCTGTTAACCATAAATCCTACATTATCTTTTTGCTCTACTACCCAACAGAATGATTGAACCCACAATCTCTAGTTTACTAGAAACCAATGCTTTTACTCACTTGTTTATTATTGTTAGACTGACTTGTCACAACTGCTGATAGAAATTGATTTAGCATATGAAGCTCAAGAAAAGCTAATATTTATCCCAAGTTAGTTACTTTTAGTTGCCTGGGGGCACTTCGACATGGTGTTATAGTTGGCAAGCTTGTCTCACTTGATCAATTACAACTGACTAATGAGTTCAATGCTCACTGGGTACTTTCTCCTCTCAGGTTTATGTCACACCTAAGCTATGCTTAGTAAATCACTACTTTTAGTTGCCTGTCTGACCTTGTGTCACATTCTGTTGTGATGTGGGTGAGCAAATAAATACTTAATTTTAGCTTACCACTACTCAAACTTGATTAATCCTTTGAACCCTGCCTTCCTGATCAATTTTAACCCTTCTGCCTGAGCTCCTGTGTCAAAATTCACAAATAATTGGTATGTAATGTTTTCCCAGTAGATTCAACCGGTAGCTGGGCATTATGTCATTTTTCTCTACCACCGGTAAAGTGGTGGTCAGGGCTCAAATGGTTAATGTATAATCATGATAATCCTTCAGCTCAGAAATGCATAACTGATACAAACATTGTGAATGTTTTTTTTTCTTTTAACTTTCAGTCATCTTTATTGTGTTATATTTTAAAGTTATTTTTAAGAAAGTCTGTCTTTTCATTGTCTAACCAATTTAAACTTATGTGCCTTTAATCAATTGCTCCATGATTCAGATGTTCACCTCTTTCAGAGTTTGTCATAATGTAAAATAAAAATTAAAGCATAATAATGAGCTGATATAAAGTGTTGTGTTGGAAACCTACCACCCCTCTGGAAGATGAACTTGTCTGTGAACAAAGACTTTAAATAGTGGCATGTCAGTTGACATAGAAGACAGATAGACCGAGAGGTTCTTAGCTGAGCTAGTTACTGATTACTCAGGCGATTTCTGTACCTTTTTACTAACCTATTAAAACCCTTTTTATTGTTACGTGTTATTTGGCGTTTGTCTCTACTAACCCCAAATTAACATCATAACATAAAGTTAACTGATATGTAGCATATTTGGTATTCTAGATTTTCACCAGTTGACATTACTGAGTCACATCCAACTTTTTCTGTATTTTGACAATTCCTTTATCTCCAAGTCTTAATGGCATAGCTGCTTTTAAGATTATAATTGGAATACAGTTCAAATAGATAAAACAAAGTCAAGTTTTGATTTAAATGACTTAATGATATTGATTATTTTTGGATAACAGTAACTTTTACAAAAAGTATGTTTATTAATTTTATTTTTATTTATGAAGTTTAATTTAATCTTGGAGAAGACATTTGCAATCTCATCATTTTCACTTAAAGGTGAATTCTGATCTTTTAATATTTGAAACTTATTCTCACCGACTTTTGTCAAAGTTTGAACAAAGATTTTTAAACTATCTAGATAACTAACAAAGTAAGTATGATTTTTCTTTCTTTGGCAAATCGTAAAATAAATGAATAATCAAACAAATACACGAATATATATCGATTATGCATGTAAATTATTCAGAAACTTACAGAGTAATCTCCCTTTAAGCATTTTGAAGTTTACATATTGAATTATTCCTCTTATTTTAAGTAGGTACCTCCCCCCCTAAAGAAGTGATACCTAAATTTAAAATGCACTTTTAAAAATGAAACATCTTTCTTGAAGCTTTAATTTTACTTTTAATTCCAAGCTAAAAGATTAAATTTAATATTCCCAATATGCAATATACTTTGGTTTATTTAATTTGATCAGAAACTTTTTTTCTACTTATCAGTGAAATCTATATTTTTGTCCATAATTGACAGATATGTCAACACAACATAATTCTTTTTTTTTTTATTTTTTAAATCGTTCAAAAATAAATTATACTTTTCTGAAACATTATTTTAGGAAAATTAACTGTTAAATCTGAATCAAAACAAATATTATTTGCTTTTAGTTTAAAATATAACAGAAAATCATTTTTTTAACACAGAGGAGTTGCTTTTCTGTGTGATTTATTGGAAAAATTAAATAGCAGGCAGATATAAATAAAGGATACTAACAGGCCTGGGGAGATGATCTCAGTATGTGGTACCATTGGAAAGCATCTGAAAACCATACCATGGGTAGACCTAAGCTATTATGGTGGGTGGCGGGAGTAGAGGAAAGTGTTTGAAAGTTGTCAGTTGTTGTAGTAGCATGAAGTCACAAGTCACCATGACCAGGAGTTTGAACCTACTGGCCTTATTTAGCAGCTGATCATGCCAGATTATATGCTCTATCTCTCTCTCTCTCTCCAAAAAATTGTAACTACTAAATTGTCTACTCCTCATGGTTGCAGTATAAACCACAGGTTGGATCTGTAGGTGTTGAAGAAACACAAATGTACTCAAGGAGACATCTGCCATAGGGATTTATTCACTCTTGTAGACATCATAGTCTCCTAAGACTGACAGATGTCTACCTTGAGTTATTGTTTCTAAATTAACAAATGTCTAATGACAACTAATTTATTATACTTTTTTTAAGATTCATGTAAAGCAATTGGCCAATTAATTTTCATTGTTTGAGCAAATAAAATTCAGCCTAATGTCTACCTTGAACATCAGTTGAATAAGATAAAATTGATGCTTAAAATATTTAGCTGATTGATTAAACTTTAATAATTATTTTCATTATTTAAAAAATGTTTAAAAATATTTTATTGTAACAACCATTATTAATGATGCATATTTTTTGAGTTGTTTAAAATAATTACATATATATTACATTTTTTCCTTTTAAATGAGCATTGTTAAAACATAACTGGAAAAAAATGTATGTAACAGACATTACCATGGCAACACTGCTATATAAAAACACGTGTGTGTGTGTGAAAATTCAGTTATAACTAAAATGGATATCTATAAAAGGACAATATGAATAAAGGTAAAAGGAAAACTTATCTTAGCCAACATGTTTAATCATCTGAGGGACTTTATCAAGGCAAATGTAAGGATTTTATTTTGCAACAAGTATTTATATACAGAAGTAAAAATGTTGTTTTTAGAATTTTTAAATTTAAGAATGTTTATAAATATAAATCAGGCTAACGGGGTAAATTATAGTAGATGCTAAGTGATATAATTTAATATCTAATTCACAAAAGTGAGTAAATTTTATTATTGAATCTTTTTTTAATAATGTAATTATTTATATTTGTTTTATGTGTCATAGATTTTAAATAATAGAAGGTTTAGAATTTAACTCTTAATTTTAATTTTTAGAAAAATTTCTTTTAAGAAAGAGGATATTTGAAAAAATCCAGAATATAATACTTAAAGAATCTAAGATCAGACTAACCACAACCAGTGTAACCAAAATTCTTTCACTCCCACACAAAACATCCCCCAATCAACATACAGACAACACCAGACAGAAATAAAATGACCACTACATGCATACATATTATCAACTAAATCCCACATAGACCAAATAGAATTATGATTCACAATCAAGAATTATTAACAAATGAACACTAACAAACAAGACAAATACATGCAAGTTACTTAACCAATGAAAAACAATACAAAAAAAATAAAGAATACCAGAATTTTTGTTTCTCTTCCATATTTCATTTCTGATGAAGCTTGAATAAAAGCAAAACATTAAATTTACAAATGTTTTCTATTTGTTCCTTATCCTATCCTATATAAGGTAGCACCAATCAATCAGTTGATAGTTGGTGAATTAATTACTCTCAATAAAGACTGAGAAAAAATTAATGAAAACCTAACAGACAATTACTTAAATTTATTCTATGGCTAAGATAATTAATGATTCTTTGGTCATGAATAGAATTCATGTGAAGAAATAAACAAAGATGACCAAGTACAAAAACTGATTAATTGGCAAAAAAAAAACAAAAAAAACAATGAGCCATGCTGATAAGACCATTTATCAGCTGATCCATCAAGGTTAACTATTATGTAATTCTGTGTCAAACTGACAAGGATCTGACCAACAATACAAATTTTTTTCAAATTTGATATGCTTATAGAGCTTCATGATACAAATTGAATGGTACCTATTTTACATATCTAGATCAAAGAGTTCCCAAGATATGGCACTTTGATCATTACCAAAAGGGTGAATTTTAAAAAATAGTCACAAAGTTTAAATATTAATAACTCAGTTGTTTTTTTCACCCACAAAGCAAAATTATATACCATTTTAAAGTACTTGGATAAATCTAAAAGGTGATCTATTTATTTTTTGTTTTATATGTCAAATAAGATAATTTGACCATGACCTTTAATTTCTCAAAAAGAATGTCTTAATTTTTTTTTTAAATTTGACAAATTTGTCTGCTTTATGGCAAGATATGTACAAAATTTAAGGGTGGACTTTTGACTGTGGCCTGAGTTACAAGTTTTGAGTTGGGCCAAATTCAAAATGGCAGATTTTCACATTTGCCACTATATGCTAACATTTTCATATCTCCCAATATGGTCCAGTTGTATATTTTTAGAAAGCTCTTTGAATGCTGATTAACATTCACATAAGAATTATGATCCTAAAATCAGCAGAATTTACTCTGTAAACTGAAAGAGACATACCCTTTGAGTTACTTGTGGTTAAATGTTGACCAATTCCGGGGAAAATAAACAACCTTATTTTTGGTTTTGCTAACATTTTTATTATACAACAAATATATTTTTATATAAAAAAAATGATATAGTGAAAATAATTATTTAAAATGTCATGAATTAATGTTTAGACAACATAAAATAATGTGAAAATATGCAACAAGTTATGTTAATGATTAATAAATTATTGTTGATATTTGACATCGTACATTAAATGTAAAAAACAATCCAATTTTATTTTTTTTTTTATATTTAAAAATTAAGTTTGAATCTGAAAAATAATATTTAAAAAAAGATTCTTAACATTTACAAAGAGATTAACAAGCAAACTTATTTTTCTGCTTGTTTGAATATATGTTTAAATAGAAATTTAAAATTTGAATATGTAACCACCTACTTTTTAATTTTTTGTGATGACCAACCTTGATTGTATCCTTATTTAAGGCAATTTCCAGAAATTCCCTTTCCTAAAATATTTTAAGACTTTTCCATTTCAATTTTTGAATGTTAATAAGTTCTTCCAGTGTCAGTTATTTGATCAATTAAACTAAGATTATCAGAATAATATAAAATTAATATATCAGACTGTTGTAGAGTGGTTTCACAGTGGAGGCTTGTATTCGTACTAAGTCAGTCCAAAAATAGGTTCGACCTACAAAACGTTAGGAACTTGATATAATAGGTAATGACGCAGTAATCTAGTTGTGGTGGCTGATACTTTAATATCCGACTAATGGTTGTCCGACATCGACTGACTGACCAACTCCCTGAGCGACTCCTACTACTCCTACTTATTATAGGTGGGAGAGTCTATTAACTATAGAATAGGTGTGTTCCACTATAACACAGACAAATGGATATAATGTGGCTTGAGAATTATTTCAGTGGGAGTCTTCTGCAGCATCCTGCAAAATAAATGAATAATTCTCAGAAAAATCTGCAATAACTATGACTTCACCATCCATCAAGGAACTTATTAGAATAAAATTTTGATTGTTCTTTGGCAAGGAAATCATGCTTTTTCAAGGTTTAAAGGTCTTCAGAAAAAGTTTCAATATATTCTTCTGCAGATTATGATACAGTTTCCAATGTGGTTCTATCAGTTGATAACCACTGTTTGTAGATAAAATCATATATTAAATTTTTATTTAGAATTTCTTCTATATATAAAACAAAATCCTACATCAAATTGCTACAAATTAACCAGTCACTCAATCAGCAGTTAGATGTTGATTCATTGCTTGTAAAAGCAGCTATTCATTGGTGGTAATCTGTTGTTCATCTTGAGTCAGTGTACTAAGATGAGCCCCCACAATAATCATCCGTTTCATATTTTGATGTATTGTGTGAACACAGACACAGTGTATTCCAGCACCACCTACTAGGATACATTCTTTTGGTCAAAGCTCAGCAAATTTTGAAAAACTAATTCTGTTTGGATTTTTTTATTTAAATAATTGGTATGCCTCTTTCAGTTTACTTAGTACAAGATACTTTTGTTCCTGAACTCTTCTACCATTCTTTAAGACTGTCTTATAATCATTTCTTCTAATCATCACTCTGCTGAATTCTTTATTTTTACAAAATAACTCAACTTCATCAAATGTCTCTTGTGGGAATCTACATTTTCATATAATCCATGTTCATTTACAAGTTTTTTGGCTAGTGTTGTTATGTATGATGTGGTGCCAAATTTCATTTGAATTCTTTGGATACTCCAGTGTTTTGGAAGTATTGTCAAAGCTCTTTGAATGCTGATTAACATTCACATAAGAACTATGATTATAATATCAACAGGATTTACTCTATTTGCCTTTGATATAGAGATGTAAAATAGGTACCATTCAATTTGTATCATGAAGCTCTCTAAGTGTACAAAATTTGAAAAAAATCTCTTTTGGTGATGGTCAGATCCTTGTTGATTTGACACAGAATGACTTGTATATTTGTGGGTCTGTGCATCATCATAGAACACACTCTCTCTCTCTCTGCTTATAGTGCACTCACATAACTCAACTGACTCCAGCTTTTCTTTCTCTTTTCTTTTTCCTTTTCTTTCTCTTTTCTTTTTCCTTTTCTTCTGCTTTTCTTTTTCCTTTTTTTTTTTCCTTTTTCTTTTCTTTTTTCTTTTCTTTTTTCCTTTTTCTTTTCTTTTTTCTTTTCTTTTTTCCTTTTTCTTTTCTTTTTTCCTTTTTCTTTTCTTTTCCTTTTTCTTTTCTTTTTTCTTTTTTTCCTTTTTCTTTTCTTTTTTCTTCTTTTTCTTTTTTCTTCTTTTTCTTTTTTCTTCTTTTTCTTTTTTCTTTTCTTTTCTTTTTTCTTTTCTTTTCTTTCTTTTTCTTTTTATTATTTTTCTTTTAAAGTTGAACCATATCATTTTTTTTCCTTTTCCAGTTATAAGAAATATGTGATGCTTGATCCACTTGGTGTTGTAACAAAAACACGTCAAGACATTGGTGAACAAGATCAAGATGGCTTAACCGAAGCTCCAAGCAGTATTGCTCAAAATGAAGAAATCAGGAGACATGCTGTGGATAATTACTTTTATGTTCCAACTATTGGCCTTGTTCCAGAGATTATAGCTCCAAGCTCTCTTCCTGATTTAACAGGTAAAATTTACGTTTTGTCTTTTATCAAAGGTTTTTCATGATGAAAACTCTTAATTTGTGATGACTTTTCAATAATTTTCTGTATATTTTATTACTTATTGAGTACAATATTAATTTTATTTTTTTTAAGCTAAAATAATTTACAGTTAAGTTTCTATGACTGGTGATAACTGCTTTTTTTATTGTTTTTGACATATGTTTTTGTTTCTATAATCTAAAATCCTTAAAACTAGTAAAAATGAAAAAAGAAATTATATACCAGAACAAAATTTAATTTGACATGATGATTATTCAAGCTAACCAATTTGGTAACTAAAATTTATTACAATATAATCAATGTTTGTACAGTAATATAATTGATTTTCTTAATATTATTTGGCTTATTTCATCAGTATGCTTCTAAAAGCTATAAATTGATATATGCCCTTTTTGCATAATTTTTCCATTTTTGAAATGATCGAATAGATTAGTTTGTGTTTCTTCAACATCCACAGAGCCAACCTGTAGTTTATACTGCAATTATACTGATGCAAAAGCATTTGATAAAGTACATCATAAAGAACTGTCAGGTACCCTTGATGTATTTGGGAAGGATAGTAGAGTAATCCAGAACTTCTTATACTGGAAGCAAACCGTAATGCAGATTAGAGTAATCCAGAACTTATACTGGAAGCAAACCATATGAATAGAAAATGAATTCAGTAAATATGAAAAAAATAGAAAGGGTATAAGACAAGGATGTGTCTTCTCACCAGACTTAGTCAACCTTTACAGTGAGGTGATTCTGAGAGAATTTTAATTCCTACCATGATTCATTTTTGGGTACCACAACCTTAATGACATTAGATATGCTAATGATACAGAATAGCAGCTTGGATTGAGGAATCGGAGAGCCGAGTTGGAATTCCAGTCAAATCCATTACATTCACTTACATGCTAATACCCTTGGGAAAGGTATGAATCCTCTTCTCCCCACTCCAGCTATGGGTAAATAGCAGCACAGACCGTGTTCTATAGCCTTGGATGGCAACTGGTCTACTGCAGAAAGAAATGGCAACCTACTGCAGGAAAAAACTGCCTTGTCACTCACGTATCGAAAGATACATGATTGCTTAAGTGTGTATCACGCATGGCACATAACTGACTGAATGATACAGGAAAAATATAGGAACTCCTACAGAAAGCAGTAAAGGAAAGCAAGAAGAAAGGGCTAAACATCAATTAACTGTAAGAAGATAGAATGTATAGTTGTCAGCAAAAAGAAGAGCCCAACATGCGAATTACAAATTGTATATGCCAAAACCAAGCAAGTACCAAAATTTAAATATCTAGGAAATATATTAATGGAGAAATATGACACTGAAATACGAAGGTGCATTGGAATATCAAAAGGTACCTTTCGAAACCTAAGCAAAGTATTAAGAAATAGGAAAATCTCATTAGAAATAAAGAAAAGTGGACTTAACTTTTATGTAATATTGGTCTTCTTATATTACATTGAATACTGGACAATCTCCTTTACTGAGGCAACAGAAATGTGATTCTGAAGAAAGGATGCTGGGGACATTATGGACTGAACATGTGAGCAATGATGAAGTTTTAGAGAAAAATTGAAACAGAAAGGACACTTATACCTAACATCAGAAAGAGATAATTGAACTTTCTAGGGCACATAATGAGGAAAGTGAGCTTAGAAAATTGACACTGACAAGACATTGTAGGCAAGAGAGACAAGAGAAAGCAGTGCATAACCTACCTAATGAGTTTGTGTAAATAGTAAATATTAATTCATAACTACAATTAGGTGAGATAGCAAAAAAACAAACTTTACTAAGAGCTACAAAGGACAGGAAATTGTAGTGAGCCATAATCACCCATGTTTTGAAGAGAGTGCATAGAAAGATGCTGAGCGGACCTTAGTTACAGTTTCAGCTTGAGAGCACCTAATCTGGCATAATCATTAATTGAACAAGGAGTAGAGGTTTATCCTTTGTTTCCTGTTTAGGATTGGGTTTTCAGTTCCTTCTAAAGTCTACTTCAACTATATGCTTCTGATATCTCCACATTTAAAATTTTTAATATTTCTTTATCTCCTAATAGGAGTAAATAGATTTGCCTATCATCTGGTTCACACTCTTCCTGGTCTTTTGAAAAGGAGTTGAGGTTTATCCCAAGTTTCCTGTTTAGGATTTGATTTCCAGTTCTTTCTAAAGTTTTCTCATTATCTTTTATTCCCAGTAGCCCCTTGTGTATTAGTGGCATTATTGCCTTGCTTGGGGTGAATTGATTTTTTAAAAATATGGTGTTACCAGTTCAGAGATTGTCAAGTGATTAGGAATTGTGTGAACTATTGGACAAAGTGATATGATTTGCAACATGTGGGCTGCTATTATGTTAATCAACATTGCAGTTATACCAAATGTCAAGTAATTTTTATTTTGGGGTCTGCAAAAAAATTATTTAACATTTCATTTTTGTTGTTTTAATTAAAACTATATTGCTAACACAGCTAATCTCAGACTCTGTGCATGAAAAATCATTTCACCTGTTTCTAAGTTTGTGCCGAAACACTGAAATTCTTCCACATAAGACATGAATAAGTTTAACATTTTGAATTGTTCAATGAAAATATATCTGTTACCAGTAAAGAATATGAGTGTTCTCATGTTACCTCTCACAGTTTTTACCATTCCTGGCTATTTTTCTTTTAATTAAGACTGTAAATCTTCAAATGGCTGTATAGTGTGTGCTGGAATGTGCAGGTGGCATAAGGGATTGTGGCTCAGAATGAGAAATTAGAGAGCCAAGTTCAAAATCAAGTCAGGTTCGTCAGATTCACTTGCACACAAGTATTCTTGGGAAAGAATTCCCCTCCAGCTATGGGTTAAATAGTAGGACTTATATCCAAAAAAAATCCTTGTTATTTTCAAAAAAGTTATTACTGCAATATTCACTTGTGAAAAAAAAAACCCAAAAAACAAAAAAAATAATTACTCTTACAATCCAAAATAGGTTTTGGCTTTAAATAACAAATAAAGTGTTGATAAACTGTAAAAAAAAATAAACAAATCAATCAAAATAAAAAGCATAGGGCTCCATACAGTTTTTAATTTCTTTTCTCCTTGACTGGTTACTAAACACAAATGGAGAACCCAGTCTGTCTTGCTATATCATTCTCAAGGTATTTGTACAAAAATGAATGTAACAACTTGTCTGGAATTTGAACTCGGCTCAACAATTTCTTATTCCAAGCTGCTAACCATTGCACCATCTATACAACCATATTTGGATTATTGTAAACCACTTGATTCATAAAGTTGCCAATGGTCGGTAATTCTGGACATTTTATTACATTTCATGCTCCTCACTTTGTCTTTTGTCTTCTTTTAATTCAGGTGTTGCGGATGATGAGTCTTTCTTGGCAGACCAGGGTCCTTCCATTGCTCCCTCTGTACCCAGCAGTGTGCCTGATCTGCCGTCAATACCTTCACAAGAAGCTGATATTCCCACAGGCCCAGCCACAACTTCTCCAGCTGCTGGTGCACTTTCTTCTGCTGTTGCTCCACCGCCACCTCCACCACCACCGCCGCCACCGCCAGCAGCAGCAGCTCCCCCGCCTCCTGCAGCTGTTGCACCACCCCCGCCACCCCCACCTCTACCACCCACTTCAGAAACTGCTGCACCTCCAGATGCTGCTGCAGAATCTGAAGACACAACCCCATCCAGCAAGGCTCCTGCACCGTCCAGTGCCAGCAGTGGAGATACATGGGGGGACTTGCTCAAGTCGATTCGTGAGGCAGGCGGGGCCAGCAAGGCCAAACTGAAGAAGGCAGATGAAAGAAAGCAGGAAAAGAAGATGAAGAAGAAAAAGAATGATGATATAGACACTGACGATTCAAGTACAGCTGCTGGCTCAGGAGGAGGGGATCTGATGGCTGACCTGACAAAGAAACTGATGATGCGTCGACGAGGCATAATGGGTAACCTGTCCCAGAGTGAAAGCAATTCCAGAGAAAAAGATCCCTCAGCAGCGCCAGCCAGTGCTGGAAATGTGATGGACAAAATATCAGCTATGATTGCACCCCCACCTCCAAAAGCAAATAATGAGGAGCATTCAGATAGTGATTTTGACTAAACCTGTTTTGGTTCAGGGATGTTGGGGTCAGGGGTTGGGGAGGAGGGACATGCAAAATTAAGCACAGTTACTTATTATTATGTTGTTATGTTACAACAATAAAACAATTTTTGTGACTTGTTTTTTTTAACAATATTTTGCTACTTGCTTTTATTTTCTTTTTTTTCATTTTTATTTAGTCAGAGAATGGCTCAAAAACATTATATTCACTCAGCAGATATCAGATATCATACCTTGAACATGAACTGTACAGTTCTAGGTATATATACACACACACATATATATATATATATATATATATATATATATATATATATATATATATATATATATATATACTTTACGACAGGGGTTGGCAATCTATGCCACATGTGACATGCCAAGCAATTTCCAATGGCACACAGCTGCAAATGACATTACGAAGTTTGAACCAATAACTACTACAACACAAAGAAGATATTTAGCTGTTTCAATTTTAATATATATTGGTGCATATATACTATATATTACTATATAAAATATATTGTAGAACAGCTTTATTGACCTTGACTTGTATAAAAATACGTATGCTGTTGGCATACTGAATTATTTTAAAACACTAAGTCGGTACATAGTTAGCAAAAGGTTGCCGACCCCTGCTTTACAATATTCAACCTTTGACAAAAAAATATTTGCCAAAAAAAAGAAATGGCTTGATTAAAAAAAAAAAAAAAAAAAGTGCTCAATACAATTTTCAAAAAATAAAATGTAGGGCAGCTTAAGATGTAAAAAAATTTGAAACTTCGACCTTTATGGTACCATGCTTTCTATCAGGGTGATATCATCAGGCAGTAAAATTTACTGCCTGAAGATGCTCCTCTGCTAGAAACCATGGTAGCATAAGAATTGGTGTTTTGTATATATATATATATATATATATATATATATATATATATATATATATATATATATATATATATAGTATATATATATATATATATATATATATATATATATATATATATATATATTATATATAGTATATATATATATATATATATATGTATATATATATATATATATATATATATATATATATATATATATATATATATATATATATATATATATATATATATATATATATATATATATATATATATATATATATATATATATATATATATATATATATATATATATATATATATATATATATATATATATATATATATGGTATATATATATATATATATATATATATATATATATATATATATATATATATATATAGTATATATATATATATATATATATATATATATATATATATATATATATATATATATATATATATATATCTCCAAATGAGAGAATTAGCAGATGGAGCAAAAATCCACTGTTTGTAGCGTTTACTTCTAAAAATGTGCTTGATACAAAGTAGAGCAATATATTATATTTTTATGATAAGAGATTATAATAAAAACATATTGAAATTGTGACATGAAAAAAATAACTCACCTACCTCCACCCTCTGAACTTACTTTTCTATTAAATGCTGATCTGATATTTAATTGGTTAATCAAGACATACCCACAAGTCTATTTTTAATACTGAACTTATGTCCCCACCACCCACTTAACTTTCGGAAAAGAGGTAACAATTTTCTAAATTTCCTTAAAAAATCATTTAATCACCAGTTACCATCGCCTGAAGAAGTACAGTCATAGTATTGAAACATGAAAGCTTTTGTGTAGCGAATTTCATAATTTTTTTTATTATAATGTCATATATATATATATATATATATATATATATATATATATATATAGCTTGGTGTTTGTTTCTCTTGGACATTCCCAAGATTTTTCCCCCCATGTTTTTCAAAATGAATGTGTCAATATGCTGACAGTTTTAGAATGTTTTTGAATTCTATGCTTTTCTGTTTCTTCTGCATAAAGATAACCAGAAGAAGAAATTGCAATGTATGTATGCAAATAATAGAATTCAAAAAATGTGAATGATTTAATAAAGAAAAGACATGAAACTTGGCATCCTGATGCATTCCTTTTGAAAAATCACACACAAAAAAAAATACACAATAGATCTTGTGTACATCTCAGACAAAAAATTCCCATTTTGAAAATTGCTATGCATTAAACAGGTTGCAAATTGGTAAGTAAAAAATTGGTGTATATACAGGATGATTGAAAAGTAACTCCCTATTTTATGCATGAGCAGCCAGCCAGGACTCCAGACTTAAGACCCTGTAAAATGTTCTGTGAGGTTGATTAAAGAAGCAAGCATACTATACCAAACCAAGACTTTGGAAGAGCTTGAAGGGTGAATACAAGAAGTTATGTCTTTCATACCACATCCTAGTGAAATCCTGAGCGGCTCAAGAAGCTGGTAACAAAATCTGGTCCTCATATTGAATTTTAAATAAAACCTCATGCTAAACACTTTACTCTCAGATCTATTTATTACAAAAATTATAGTTAATAAATAAATTATAAGTATTTTAAAATGGGGAGTAAAAGTATTTAATTATTTACTTTTCAATCACCCTGTATATATCGCCAACAGCTTGGGGGTAGAATCCTCGACTGACGCCAATTCAGTCGGGTTTCGATCCTAGCTAGAGGCAACTGGACGTCTAGCCACACTGATGAGCTGTGATACAATGAAACTGTGTGTCTGTGGATGACATACATATATATATACATATATATATATATATATTAAATAAGAAAGAGACAACCTTAAGGTTCCATGACTATATATTTTTCCTAGTTCATCAGGTCACATCAAGAGATATGAACCAGGAAAAATATATTTTCTGGGGAAATAAATTACAGTCATGAAAACTTAAGGTTGTCTCTTTCTTAATTATTTAATTAATATTTGCTCTGGTGTTACATTGAACTCTCTGGATTACATCGTCTTTGGAATTATCCACATGGATTACCAAACCCTTCATTACATATATATATATATATATATATATATATATATATATATACTCACTGGACTTATTCAACCTTTACAATGGAGCAGAGTCAACTTTTAAGTACAAGCATGACACCTTTCAGCAGTGTTGAGCTCTGCCACATTGATATGCTGTGCATCTTTGGATGGCCACAGCCAGCGTATGGCCTCATTAACCAATTTGTTTACTTTATGAGATATTCCCACAGCTAAGGAACGAGCATCCACCAAAAACATTCATTTCCTTTCTGTCCACATGCCATTTCTCTTGGACAAAGCTGTATTATTGCACACTCACAATGGTTTCTGTTATCATTCATTTTAAGAAGAATATCATCTGTTTTATCCCTACCTCACGTGACAGTGGCATTTTAGCATTTAATAAAGTGCATTGCAGTGTGAAGCTGCCCATATCCAGAAAATTGCCCTACAAGTTATCCACACACAGAAAAACCTTTCCTCCATGTGATAATCTAGTGAATGCCTACCAAATCAGTTTCTCACTGCCACAGTTGCTTGGCATATTCCATAGATTTCAAACCCCAATACATGGGGCACCATTTTGTAAGCTTGCTGAATCTTTGATCATCAGCTGAAATCTCACTAGATGTGTCATCATGGGTGCTGCATCTTTGTTGACATAGTTATTGTTAATATATGCTGTTGTTGCTTTCCAGATTGCTTCATCAGTAGGAACAACAAAAGACCCTTGTAGCAATGCTGACATTGGATGTAATGGCTGTGATCACTAAAAGATACTCAGCAGATCAATGTGACAGAGCTCCACTCTGCTGAAGGGTGTCATCCTTGCAATTAAAAGTTGATATCGACCCACTGCAAAGGTTGAATAAGTCCTGTGAGAAGGCATATCCTTGTCTTATGCCCTTTCTATTTTTGTAAAAATAAAATAAAAATACACACACACACACATATTAATGTATATCTGGGCAGCAACCTCTCTTTTAAACATGTTTCATTGAATATGACAGACAAAGAAAATTTAATTAATTTTTTATTTAGTTTTTCAACCATTCTTATATTTTTTTGTTTGGTGGGACTAAGGAAGTGCAAAAATTATCTGTATTCTTCATTGTACCAAGCATTTTGGCCACTTCATGCAATATATATATATATATATATATATATATATATATATATATATATATATATATATATATATATATATATTTATTATAATTTTCATATAGACAAAATAATTTACTCACTACAAAGATGCAACTTTGTTTCAGTGCCTTTAATTGCACTTTGACTGGTGAGAACCAAAATGGTTATGAACAATCCTGTTTGGAATCAAGCTGCATGTGAAACGTCACTTCCTGTTTGAAAAAAAAAGTTGAAGGAGTGAAACAATAGTGCTTGTTGATAGAAGTTTGGTGAAGGATGGTTGAGGTGTTAAAGTGATGGCTATAGCTGAAAAATTTATTTTCAACAACAACAGTCAAGGGTTCATAACCATTTTGGTTCTCACCGAGGAAGTGCAATTAAATGCACTGAAACGAAGTTTCATCTTTGTAGTGAGTAAATTATTTTTGGCTATATGAAAAAAATTTTATTAAATAAATAATTATTGCTCTACTATTGGTATTGAGCCCTCTTTTGAATTAATGCTTTCAACATTAGAATTTATATATTATGTTCATTCTCATTACATTTGTGTGTGTGTATATATATATATATATATATATATATATATATATATATGCACATTTCATTGAATACAACAGACAAGGTGCTTTTATTTAGTTTTTTATACAATTTCTCATGCGATCTAATAATTTTTCTTTTCAGATGATAAATTATAAAAACTGTCCGAATATTCTTATTATCCGAGTGCTTTCAGCTATACATTTAGCCATTTTCATAAAAATATAAAAAACTAAATAAAAGCACCTTGTCTGTCGTATTCAATGAAATGTGCATGAAAAGGTTTGCTACCTAAATACACAAATCATATATATATATATGATGATAGAAAGTGTAAAATTTACAAACAATGCATTTTGTAGAAAACA